TCAACCACTCTTACAGTTAGGAAGTTTCTCCTGATATTTAGCCGGTAACGACTCCCTTGTAATTTCCACCCATTAGATCTAGTCTTGCAATCCGGAGCAAGAGAGAATAGATCTGCTCCATCTTCTACATGACGGCCCTTCAAATACTTGAAGACTGCAATCATGTCGCCTCTAAGCCTTCTCTTTCCCAGGCTAAACAGACCCGACTCTTTCAGCCTTTCCTCATAAGACTTGGATTCCAACCCTCTCACCATCCTGGTTGCCCTCTTCTGGACACGCTCGAGCTTGTCAACATCCTTCCTAAACTGTGGTGCCCCAAACTGGACACAGGACTCCAGGTGAGGCCTGACCATAGCAGAATAGAGTGGAACTACCACCTCCCTTGATCTGGACACAATGCCTCTATTAATGCATCCTAAGACTGCGGTGGCTCAAGTGGTTAAGACGCTGAACTGCAGGCTGTGGAAGGTCAGTAGTTCAGCAGTTCGAGACCCGGGTGCCGCATGATGGAGTGAGCTCCCATCTCTAGTTCCAGCTCCTGCCAACCTAGCAGTTTGAAAGCAAGAAATTGCAAGTAGATAAATAGGTACCACTTTGGTGGGAAGGGAACAGCGTTCCGTGCGCCTTGGTGTTTAGTCATGCCGGCCACATGACCACGGAAACGTCTTCCGACAGCGCTGGCTCTTCGGCTTGAAAACGGAGATGAGCACCGCAACCCTAGAGTTGGATTCGACTGGCTTTCAAGCAAGGGAACCTTTACCTTTAAGACTGCATTCGCTTTCTTCACAGCCACATCGCACTGCAGGCTCATGTTTAGCTTGTGATCAACCAGAACACCTAGATCTCTTCCACATGTGTGGCTGTCAAGCCAGGTCCCTCCCATTCTATACCTGTGCCTTTGATTTTTTGTACCTAAGTGCAGGGCTATTGAAGTTCATTTTATTTGTTTCCGCCCACCATTCCAGCCTATCTAGGTCATTTTTAATCCTGACTCTGTCTTCTTCAGAATTAGCAATCCCACCCAGCTTCGTGTCATCTGCAAATTTGATAAGCATCCCCTCTACGTCTTCCTCCAGGTCATTTATAAAAGCATTTAACAACAACACCGGGAGATCAGTTGTAATTCCTGGAGATCCCCAGGCCCCATCTGGAGGCTGGCATGGCTGCTCCAGCATCCAAAGCCGATCAAAGGGTGCTTTTCAAAACCCGGTCGTTTCAAGGGCTTTGAGAAACGGAGGGCAGCGGGGTGGAATACCAGCCCCATTCTCACTGGTCTTCCGTGCATGACAAAACCTTGGGCCGAAGTCCAAAAAAGGCCTCTGACAATTAGCAGAGCACACAAAACACTCATTCAAGAGGAGGAGGAGGAGATTGGATTTATACCCCCGTCATTCATTTGGAGTCTCAGAGCGGCTTACAGTCTCCTTTCCCTTCCCCTCCCCACAACAGACACCCTGTGAGGTAGGCGGGGCTGAGAGAGCTCTTGACAGAAACGGATCTTTTTCAAGAACAGCTCTTGACAGAACTACGGCTTGCCCAAGGTCACCCAGCAGGTGCAAGTGGAGGAGTGGGGGAATCGAACCCGGTTCTCCCAGATTAGAGTCCGCGCACTTAACCACCACACCCAGGGGCAGATTAAGGCTCACTGGTGCCCTAAACACTGACCAGTCTTGGTCCCCCCCTCCTTTCCACACTGACCCAGTCCATTTTAGTTGTTGACCTGTCTGACCAGATAGACAAAGCAGGTTGCAGCAATACAAACATGTATTCATATGATCACACCATATACTGTACAAACTAAGCTTTTCACCCTTTTCCCAACTTTGTGGTGCCCCTTATGGCCCTGGTGCCCTAAGCACGTGCCTAGTCTACTTAGTGGTTAACCTGCCCCTGACCACACCGAACGATATTTATTTAATTATTCATTCATTCCATTTATTCATTCCATTGATACCCCGCCCTCCCCGCAATGCAGGCTCAGGGCGGCTCACAGTCAATCCATAAAATACAATTAAAAGCAACATAAAATCATCTAAAACAATAATAAGCAGGGATCATTTCCTGCGGGAGCACACAGGAGCGGAGCTCCGGCAGTAAAGAGCCCAGGGGGCGGGCACATGCAACAAGCCCCACCCCCTGCTCCCAGCAGCTCTCAGTCAGAGCAAGAAGCAGCCAGGTAAGCTGCAGAGCCCCCCCCCCCCAGCCAAAAACAGTCCAGTGGCACTTTTAAGACCATATAGCGGGGCTATATGGACCACTGGTCTGACCCAGCAGGGCTCTTCTGATGTTCTTCTCAGGGGATGGCCTCGGCCTCTCTGCCATGTTTGTTGGCCCTCCAGAGGAACTGGTTGGGCATTGTGTGAGGCAGGATGCTGGACTAGAAGGACCACTGGTATGATCTAGCAGAGCATTTCTTAGGTTCTTATCAGGGGAAGACCTTGGCCTCTCTGCCCTGTTGTTGGCCCTCCAGAGGAACTGGTTGGCCACTATGTGTGACAGGATGCATGGCTATATGGACCACTGATCTGACCCAGCAGGATTCTTCTGATGTTCTTCTCAGGACCACTGGTCTGATCTAGCAGAGCTTTTCTTAGGTTCTTATCAGGGGAAGACCTTGGCCTCTCTGCCCTGTTGTTGGCCCTCCAGAAGAATTGGTTGGCCACTGTGTGAGACAGGATGCGTGGCTATATGGACCACTGATCTGACCCAGCAGGGCTCTTCTGATGTTCTTATCAGGGGAAGGCCTTGGCCTCTCTGCCCTGTTGTTGGCCTTCCAGAGGATCTGGTTGGCCCCTGTGTGAGACGGGATGCTGGACTAGATGGACCCTCACTGGTCTGCTCCAGCAGGGCTCTTCGGATGTTCTTAACCCACCCCAATTTGGAATGCTGCCCTTGGAGAGCAGAGGTCGGATGCTGGCCAGAAAATACCGGCTCCCTCTGTCCACCCCCTGAGCAATGCGCAGCGGCACATCTCTCCCGAAACAATGTTCTCTGCTGGGTAATCAGTGGCTCGTTAGCCCTAATCATGTCAGCACACTGTCATTTTCTTTTCTCCCTGTGCAAGAAAAGAAACAAACACACGCAATAAAGGCATTGCGCTGGGGGGGGGGGAGAAATCTCTGGTACATGACCGGGCGGCTTATTAGGGATGGCCAAGGGCCAGCTCTGTAATTGGATGCAGAGGGAGTTCAGGAAGAGGCCCCCTCCCCCTAGGGCAGGGGAAACACGAATGGTTTCATGCGTCCTTCTTCTCCAGTCGATGAAGTTTCCGGGGCACTGGGGTGGCCGAAAAGGTTGTGGGGAGGGGAAAGGAAAGGAGTTTGTGAGCAGGTCTGAGACACCTTCGGGTAGTGAAGGGTGGGGTATAAATCCAATCTCCTCCTCCTCCTCCTCTTCTTCTTCTTCTTCTTCGTGCACGCACACTTCCTCCTGTATGCATTCACACTATCGCACGCTCCTTCATGTATGCACGCACACTTCTTCTTCCTCCTCCTCCTCCTCCTCAGCAAGTAGAGCCAGCAGAAAAGGGTGGAAGTTATTTTTCCCCCCTTGGTACGTCGACATTTAATAAGAAATGCTGCTAAGGAAAAAAAGGTTGAAATGGTACGAATGATCTCAGAGAATTCTGATAGACATGATCAGTGTTCCCTCTAAGAAGAAGAGAATAAGAGAAGAGATTGGATTTATACCCCTCCCTTCACCACCCAAAGGTGTCTCAGAGCGGCTTACAAACTCCTTTCCCTTCCCCTCCCCACAACAGACACCCTGTGAGGTAGGTGGGGCTGAGAGAGCTCCGACAGAAACTGCTCTTTTTCAAGGACAGCTCTTGTCAGAGCTACGGCTTGCCCAAGGTAATCCAGCCAGGTGCAAGTGGAGGGGTGGAGGAATCAAACCCGGTTCTCCCAGATTAGAGTCCGCGCACTTCACCACGACACCAGACTGGCTGAGTGAGTGTGAGCCAGCTCACAGTTCTTTAGCCTCCGGCTCACGCATTTTTGTCTCTGCTCAGGAAGGAGGGCTCCAGAGCAAACTAATTTATGCAGGAGCCAAATTGCTGGCTCACAACTTTATTGCCAGTAGCTCACAAAGTAGAGCTTAGAGGGAGCGTTGGGACACGATAGAGGTTTATAAAATTATGCACAGGGTGGAAAGAGTTCGAGGGAACCTTTACCTTTTACCATACTGCAGAGATCAGTTCCCCAGGAGAAAAGGGATGCTTTGGAGGGCGGGCTCTGTATGCATTGTGCCCCACTGAGGTCCCTCCCTGTCCTCCCCAGGCTCCACCCCCAAATCTCCAGGAGTTTCCCGACCTGGATCTGGCAACCCTAATCCCTCCCCCCCCCCCGCTGCCCATGAGGGACATGCCAACTTTAAGCCAGAAACAAATGAAGTCAATGAAAATAATAGTCTCATGACTCCTTTTCATGAACCAGTTACAAAAAGCAACATCAGGGCAGCGAAGATGGTTGAGGTCTCGGTGCGGCTTCCAGCGCTGCCGCATTCAAGATGGCGTCTCCCTCTCGCCAAAAGACTATTTCATTAGCGCAAGCGCAGGGGTGCAGGCGCAGGCGCCGTGTTTATCCAGAGCCACACTCAAGATGGCGTCCGTCGGGCCGCCATTCGCGGGGCGTCGCAGGTCCCGGACTTCCGGTGAAACCGGAAAGGCTCCTTTGGCTCTATTCTGTTCTCTTGGGGCTTCGGCAAATTCCGTCTGCTATTTTTGACAGGGGCGGGAAAAGTCTACGGGACAGTGACAGCGAATGTCTGTCCCCCTTAAAACGTCCGTTGTAATCAAACCTTATTGGTTGCGAAGGGAGACCGCCAGACGGACTTCCGGAGCCACTCTCAAAATGGCGACCGCACCGGAAACCCGCGCATCCAAGATGGCGCCTCGAGCGGCGCTGTCGCCGCACCCAACATGGCGGCTCTCCAGCTCACATTCGTTTCCCCGTACGGTGGCCTGCGAGGACCAGCCAACCGCGCATGCTCAGTGAGCCGGCCTCTTTTCCTGCTCAGTGACTAAGCTGCCGCCGGAGCAAGATGGAGCTTCCGTCGCTTCTGCCGCCTCCCTCGTTTTGGGCCGCGGGTCCCGCGCCGGGGCAGCTCTACTCGCCTCCTTGCCCGGGCCAGGGGTTCCCGCCCCAGGCCGCAGAAGGAGGGGGAGTCAACAGGACCCTGTGAGTGGGGTGGTGGTGGTGGTGTGACGTCACGGGGAAGCTGGGGGGGGGCGCTGGTGACGTCAGGGGACTGATGGGGGCACTGGTGACGTCATTGGGGAGGACAACGGGTTTGACCTGGCGGGGGGGAGGTGTCTGTTGATGGCCAAGTGGAGCCTCCATGCGTAGGAGCAGTCTACCTGTTGACAAGAGGGGAAGGTGGGTTGCCAGCTTCAAGGTGGAAATTCCTGGAGTTTTTCGGGGGGGGGGTGGTCCCTGGGGAATGGCGGGGTTTGGGGAGACGAGGGACCTCAGCAGGGTATAATGCCATACGGTCCACCCTCTGTAATTACCCTTTGCTCCAGAAGAGCTGATCTGTTGCAATTCCAGGAGATCTCCAGGCCCTGCCTGGAGGTTGACATCCCTTTGAGGACGGCTGCTGATTATCCTTCGCACCCCCAACCAATGTTCCCTCGAAGCCGTAGAGTTTTGTGAGCAAAAATTCTGCTTTGTGAGCTACTGGCATTAAAGTTGTGAGCGAGCGATTGGGCTGCTGCATCAGTTAGTTTGCTCTGGAGCCCTCCTTCCTGAGCGAAGGCAAAAAAGTGTGAGCCAGAGGCTAAAAAACAGTGTGCTAGCTCACACTAACTCAGCTCAGAGGGAACACTGCCCCCAACCTATGAGCCTGGGGAGAGGAGGAAAGGATGCTGTTGGCAGAAGGTGACACAGATAGACGGTCTTCCATGTACACCACAAGGAGCCAGTGAAGCCTTGCTTTGTTTGTATCCATGTGCCCAGGTGTCCTGCCAAATAATGGGGTAATAATTTTAAGACAGGCCTCCCTGTCTAATGGGCAGCTGAAGAACATATGCTCTACCGATTTGACTTCGCTTAAAAGGGCGTGGGCACAGCCTTTCCGAGTAGGGTTGTTTGTTGTACCTGCCTTGAATAACAGCAGACGGAAGGGGCAGGACATTGCGGTAGGGCAAATGCCCTTCTAGAGTTCTTTCCCTTCACTGAAGTCAAACATGGTGCCGGCTCAATGGTGTCTTTGGGGGAGTCCGTCACTGGAGACCCGAGTTAGACTGAGCATCGGACTAGGATTTTGGAGACCAAGGTTCGAATCCCGGCTCTGTCCCGGAAGCTCTCTGGGTGATCTCGGGCCGGTCAGCGCACTCTTGGCCTAACCTACCTCGCAGGGTTGTTGTGAGGGTAAAATAGACAAGAGGAGAAGGAGAAGCCACATTCTTTCGGGGAGGAAGGCAGGGTTAAAATGGAGTGAGCAGAAGTAAAACCTTAAGGGAGTTATGGGACAGTAGTGAATGGTGTGTGAGTGTATATGAATATTGTTGTAGATCACCGAAATGATTGCATTTTTAATTTCATTGTACTATGTACAATGACAATAAAGTTTTTTATTATTATTATTATTATTATTATTATTATTAAAAGAACCGTGTCCCTCGGTCATGTTTCTCCCAGGAGCCCCATGGTGACGGGCACGTCGGTGCTGGGGGTGAAGTTCGACGGCGGGGTGATCATCGCTGCGGACATGTTGGGCTCCTACGGCTCCCTGGCCCGCTTCCGCAACATCTCCCGGGTCATGAAAGTCAACGATAGCACCGTCTTGGGGGCCTCGGGGGATTACGCCGATTTCCAGTACCTCAAGCAAGTCGTCGATCAGATGGTGTAAGTTGTTCCAGTTCTGGCTCTGAGGACTCGCCCTCGCTTTGGCCGCTGGTGCATTCCTGGATGTGCCGTGCTTGGGCATAGAGGCAGACAGGTGCAGCATGGCTGATGTTCCGCCCCTTTTGCAGACCGTGGGTCGGCTCCTGCGGCTCAGTTCCTCTGAGAGCCAGTTTGGTGGCGGGGTTAGGAGCGTGGACTCTAATCTGGGAGAACCGGGTTTGATTCCCCACTCCTCCGCATGCAGCTGCCGGTGTGACCTTGGGTCAGTCACAAGTTCTCTCAGAGCTGTCATCTCACAAGCAGTCCTCGAAAGAGCTCTCTCAGCCCCACCTGCCTCACGGGGTGTCTTTTGTGGGAAGGGGAAGGAGACTGTAAGCCGCTCTGAGACTCCTTCAGGAAGTGAAGGGGGGGGTGTATAAATCCAGTCTCTTCTTCATCCCTGATCTGTGTGGTTTTATTTATTTATTTATTTATTTATTTATTCGATTTATACCCCGCCCTCCTTGCGTAGCAGGCTCAGGGCGGCTTGCAGTGGGTTAAAATACATTAAAACACAGATGCATTGAGACAGTGCAATAGCATAATATTCAAAGTATGGCAATCATAAATACATATAAAGGTAAAGGTTCCCTTGCTCGAAAGCCAGTCGAGTCAGACTCTAGGGTTGCGGTGCTCATCTCCGTTTCAAAGCCGAAGAGCCAGCGCTGTCCGAAGACGTTTCCGTGGTCATGTGGCCGGCATGACTAAACACCAAGGTGCACGGAACGCTGTTACCTTCCCATCGAAGTGGTCCCTATTTATCTACATGCAATTTCTTGCTTTCGAACTGCTGGGTTGGCAGGAGCTGGGACTAGAGATGGGAGCTCACTCCGTCATGCAGCACACTCGGGTCTCGAACTGCTGAACTACCGACCTTCCACAGCCTACGGTTCAGCGTCTTAACCACTTGAGCCACCGCAGCTCCTAAATACATATAAACACATATAAAAAGCAAGTAAAATGCTGTTGGCAGTAGCCTCCGATAGGGTCAAATACACTGGCTGTTATTGTTCGAGTTAACAAAGAGGGCCTTAACTGTACAGATGTTAGCTGTTCAGATGTTATCAGTATATGGGCAGTGGCGGCTCCTAAGCAAAGGCCTGGTGGAAGAGCTCCATTTTGCAGGCCCGGCGGAACTGTAAGAGGTCCCCCGCAGGGCCCTGATGTCTTCCGGGAGCTCATTCCCCCAGTGTGGAGCCGCCACTGAGAAGGCTGGTGGAGTGGAGGGAAATTCCACAGATTCCACCACATGCCAACGTGACCAAGACCACCTGGTGAGCACACTCACCAGACCCCGGGCACACCCGGGGCCAGAGGTGTCAGCTTCAACAGCAAGTAAATCTCCACACACGTTTCCAGGGAAGCGTTATGCTTTATTAGACTACAGGTCTGTTACCATGTCCACAGGGTTATTGTTAGGAATGACAATAGGGCGGAACCCTCCCTACATATAGCAGGATGAGGCAAAATGGCTAAGCAAACGAAATCCGAGCGCACGCGCGCGCGGGGGGGGGGGGAATTCTCCCGGCGGTCCCGGCGGGAGGTTACATAATAAGCAGGAGAGTCTCAGTGCCCCATGAGAGCCGAAATATTCACACCTGCGGTGGAACGCAAGCCCTCCCCCGTCACAAGATCAGACAGATAACTCAGTCTGGCAGCACTGGTTCTCACGGTCTCCCTATCGCTGTGAAGGGAGCAAGCAGAACACGGCAGCCGGCTGACAAGAGGTCATTGTTGAGCCAGGTGCTGTGGTGGAAAAATATTGAGGTTTAGTCAGTAAGTGCAGCTGTTTGCGGAAAAATCTAGCAACGTGTAAACTCTGGAATGGATGGAATTGATGACCCTACCCTCAATACATATGGGGATCTAAACTCGAGGGAGAGGCTTGCTTCCTGAAGAATCAGCTCTCCCGTTAGGCAGGATCCCTGCTTGAACCAGACGCTCCATCTCCCCGGCGTTTTCTTTCATCCCTCGCTTCAGTAGAGGCCAATCTGGCGTCAGATGGTTTTGTGACCCTGACCGTATTGCTCTCTGGGAACATTTGGGGAAAGGCGGTCCCTCAGGTAGGAAGCCCCCCCCACCATATAGGGCTTCGAAGGTCAAAACCAGCACCTTGAAGTGAATCCGGTGTGCTATTGGCAGCCAGTGCAGTGCCTTCAGCACAGGCTGGATGTGCCCTCGCATCGAGAGACCCATCATGGAATGAGCTCCCAGAGGAGATCCGGGCTCTGCGGGACCTAGTACAGTTCCGCAGGGCCTGCAAGACGGAGCTCTTCCGCCAGGCTTTCGAATAGGAGCCGCCACCATCATTGTTCCACCAACGCCCTATGATTCCCGCACATTGCCATCCTGGTGTTGGCATCATTGGAGGGAACGGGACGTCTTTTAGGGGACGGCAGGGCAGTGGGATATGCACTGCCGTAGTTGGCTAGCTATGTTACTGAAGAACGCCTTTTTCCTTTTAAAATTTTAACATCTGGAGTTGAATAGAGGAGCACAAAATTGTTTTAGGATGTTATTTAATTGTTCGTTAATTGTTTATGTGTAATTTAACATTTTATATTGTTTTATTTGGCATTATGCCCTTTTAGCTGCCCTGAGCCTGCGGGGAGGGCGGAATAGAAATCTAAATAATAAATAAATCAGCAGCCTGGCTGCCGCATTCTGCACCAGCTGCAGCTCCCGGAGTTGCGACACGGGCAGCCCCATGTACAGAGCATTGCAGTAGTCTAGTCTTGAGGTGACCATAGCGTGGATCACTGTCGCCAGGTTGAAAAGCCTATCTGAGACTCGCGTACACCCACTGTTGGCTTCCGTTTTCCAGGATCGACGAAGAGCTGCTGGGAGACGGCCACAGCTACAGCCCGAAGGCCATTCACTCCTGGCTGACCCGAGCCATGTACAGCCGCCGGTCCAAGATGAACCCCCTCTGGAACACGGTTGTGATCGGCGGCTACGCCAACGGAGAGGGGTAAGCCTCACTCATAGCGTGAACCTCTTTTGCACAGCGCCGGTCTTCGGGGCGCGCAGTTGGGTTCTGGCGCTGCCGTTCCCGTCTTAACGCCTTAGGGCACTGAGGCCGCCATAGATAAGAATGCCTTTTCCGCTCGACCCCGTTACGAAGTGTGGGTGGGGGGGAGGAGGAGGAATTCTGCTCCTTGTCCCCCAAAATGGAGGAGAAGGGAATAAGAACATCTTATGTTCTTAGATATATTTTTTTCTCCCTCTCCCAGAATGCTAAAATGAAGCTGATGGGCAGTAGGTTCAGGGCGGACAAAAGGAAACACTTCTTCACACAGCGAGCAATTAAGATGTGGGATTCGCTGCCGGACGGTGTAGTTTAAAAGGGGATTAGACAGATTCATGGAGGAGAGGTCCATCAGGGACTACTAGCCATGGTGATGGAGAGGAACCTCCATGTTCAGAGGCACTAATCCTCTGAATCCCAGAGCCAGGAGGAAACATTAGGGGAAGGCCTCGGCCTCTCTGCCCTGTGGTTGGCCCTCCAGAGGAACTGGTTAGCCCCTGTGTGAGACGGGATGCTGGACTAGATGGACCCTCACTGGCCTGATCCAGCAGGGCTCTTCTGAGGTTCTTTTCAGGGCTCAGCCTCTCTGCCCTGTTGTTGGCCCTCCAGATGAACTGGTTGGCCAGTGTTTGAGACAGGATGCTGGACTAGATGGACCCTCACTGGTCTGGTCCAGCAGGGCTCTTCTGATGTTTTTCTCAGGGGAAGGCCTCGGTCTCTCTGCTCTGTTGTTGGCCCTCCAGAGGAACTGGTTGGCCGCTGTGTGAGACAGGAGGCTAGACTAGATGGACCCTCACTGGTCTGGTCCAGCAGGGCTCTTCTGAGGTTCTTCTCAGGGGAAGGCCTCGGCCTCTCTGCCCTGTTGTTGGCCCTCCAGAGGAACTGCTTGGCCAATGTTTGAGACAGGAAGCTGGACTAGATGGACCTTCACTGGTCTGATCCAGCAGGGCTCTTCTGATGTTCTTCTCAGGGGAAGGTCTCGGCCTCTCTGCTCTGTTGTTGGCCCTCCAGAGGAACTGGTTGGCCCCTGTGTGAGACAGGAGGCTGGACTAGATGGACCCTCACTGGTCTGACCCAGCAGGGCTCTTCTGATGTTCTTCTCAGGGGTAAGGCCTCGGCCTCTCTGCCCTGTTGTTGGCTCTCCAGAGGTACTGGTTGGCCCTTGTGTGAGACAGGTTGCTGAATTAGATGGACCCTCACTGGTCTGATCCAGCAGGGCTCTTCC